TCGTGAATCTTCACACAATGTCAGCACTGGCTGCACAGTGCTGCCACACAGAGAAAAATCGATCACTCATTCCATCAGCTGCTGGTATTGTGAAACCGAAACCGAGCACCGAGCTAAAACAGAGCACAGCCAGTTAATGGGTTGCATTTTTCATTTGAAAACCTCTTGATAAACAATGTTTTTCGTGTTATTCTCTGGTGGAAATATGTAAAGATTCCTGGCGTCTCGAACTGTTGAGCTCCCCACGTACGGCATGCACGTATGGCACGTACGGCATGTAACAGCATTTACGAATGGGTTGCACTTTTCATTTGAAAACCTCTTGATAAACAATGTTTTTCGTGTTATTCTCTGGTGGAAATATGTAAAGATTCCTGGCGTCTCGAACTGTTGAGCTCCCCACGTACGGCATGCACGTATGGCACGTACGGCACGTAACAGCATGTACGAATGGGTTGCGCTTCTCATTTCAAAGCCTGTTGATAAACAATGCAGTCGTAACCTCTGAACTGGCTGTGCTCTGTTTTAGCTCGGTGCTCGGTTTCGGTTTCACAATACCAGCAGCTGATGGAATGAGTGATCGATTTTTCTCTGTGTGGCAGCACTGTACAGTCAGTGCTGACATTGTGTGAAGATTCACGAATTGAGAGGGTTTTCACGGATTTTTCGGCGAGTTTGACGGTTTGGCAGGTTTTTTTCAGCTAGGAACACTCCCCGGGTATAAGAGATGGCCCTGTGAAAATTGCATCAACATCGCTTGGGCGGTTTGGCCGCCTATAGGGAAGATACATACATACATACATACATACATACATACATAGATACATAGATACATACGAACTCAAATATATATTAGATTTCCCGCACAAGTATAAGCTCACTCATAGCACTTCTACTATAACCTGACCCACAGTACAGACAGCATCAGATAGCTTCATAGCCAGCCTGTAGGTCATGTACCACGCTGGATATTTTTCTCACACTCGCATAGTGCACTCAGCTGGCAGTGAAGAAATAGCTTGGGTCAGGACATGAGAGATGCACTGGCTCACTGCTATGCATAGCTCTAGAACTATATCAGTGTTGCACTCAGCCAGACTATTTGCTTTCCACAACTGGTCAAGGTCAACAATAAGCATTTGCAATAAGCATACGTCAAGAGCTAGCAGTCGCACTATTACATACCCTCAATCACGCCACGATGCAATCATAACGCCAAGTTACAACCATAATATGGAGCGATGGAGGCTGCAGTTGTTAGACCTATCCAAGAATTAAGGATAAGTTATTTGTCCTCCAACTATTCTAAAAGCTTCATAAATTTTATGCTGGAGGCGGACGGGGTCGGTAGGGCATATATCGCTGCACGACCATTTCACAACGACCTACAACAACAGGAGTGCTTTTTCCCAGCTGCTACACCAGTAACCAGTACATGATACATCATAACATGTTCCCCTATGCGTTTCAACTGGAATTTCCTTCATCTAGAGCTCTTCACAGGCTGGTGCATGGCCCTAAGCCTAATCCTAAGCGGATCCCTGGTCCTACCATAAAATAACTCATTTCTAAAGTTGTTAGAATAAGGTTGATTAACTCCAACTGGTTGAGATCATAGAACAAGTTCAGATTTCTTTTAGTCAGCGAACTGCTCAACTGTTGGATTCAACCAATTGGAGTACAGCATGCAAGGGGTGTGTGTTATATCACCACAGTTTCTATGTTGATTTTAATGCACGCTTACATGCGTTTGGTGCCGAGTGAAACAGTCAAAACCTGCACTGCAACGAATGCATAAAAATTTAGAGGCAAGCTCAAAGGTTTACCAACTTTCCAACTTTCTGGCTATAACAGTGTGTAAACCCAGTGTTGTTATACATCTCTCTTGCACAAATAATCATCGAAATAGACAAGGAAATGTCAAATGGACATTTCAAGTTGAGCACACCGGTATATCTTTGGGGCAATTAAGTGTATTGTAGTAGGTACAAGGATTCCAGCCTGTGCTGTTAGATGTGCGGTACTTGGTACAAACATGGGGATTCCAGCACAACGTACCGGGAAAAACGCCACGTGCATGTGCGCCACGTACGTGTGCGCGCATTTATCTCTCCGTCATATACGCACCTCCCTTGCACGGCGTGAGATGCTGGCTGTGCTGCGCCCTCCATCCGTCGATCATCTCGATCTCGCCGTTATCGCGCTTGATCGGGAACGAGATGGAGATGGTGTGATGCGCGGGCTTAATCGTCTTCAGGATGCCGATCACGTGCTTGCGCTTCTCGTCGTCCGACTTCGGTCCGGCATACTCAGCGACGAGCGTGTCCTCCAGCGCGTCCGCCGCCTTGTCGTAGAACCTGCGACACGATGACGACGTGATGTCATGCTCCACCGCACGCCCGGCCACGGCTGTATGGCATGATATGGTATGATATTGCATGACATGATATGGCATGGCATGCTATGGGATGATGTGATACTCCCCCG